TCATTTGTTATGCTTTCTGTCCAACTAATGTGACATCACATCTCCAATGCTTCCAATCGCTACCTGTCTCTCCGTACCATCAAATGTTTATTGTGCGTTAAATCCATACGAAATGCCTTAACGTATTTTACAGTAAACAGGATTCAAAATAACTGACTCGATTTTTCCGATGTAATCATTTTGAAAGTATACTCATCGCTACCCAGACGCAAAGACAAGTTAATAAAAATGGAAGTAAATTTATTTGTTACTCCGCGAACCCAGGGAAGGTTAAATCGTGCAAAATAGCTGCGCTTGTGTTGAATATTTTTACATTCAGTTAATCCTATCCTCCCTCCGTATAAAATTAATAAAATAAATAACACAAACTACAGTCACAAACCACCGCCAAAAATATACCCAACACGTGTGTGTCAACAGCCCCTGAGGATGCCTTATGGAGAGGCAAGTTAATTTACTTCCGTTTTTATTAACTTGTCTTTGCTTCGGGGTAGGAATGAGTATACTTTCAAAATGATTTTATCGGAAAAATCTAGTCAGTTAATTTGAATCCTGTTTACTGTAAAATGCTTCCATTTTTGTTAACATGGACTTCCGCAAAGTAAAGAATCTATTAATTACTTAAAGACCAGTTAGTTAGTCGTTAGTCATTGACGAAAATATAATTGAGAAATCGGTAATTTAGACTCAGTTTTGACGACCATAAAGTTGTGATTGCCTGAAAAACCTTACAAAACATAGTAACAATCATAATTTTGTGGACGAGGTAGGCCTCTGTTCAACCTTACGTAACCGCGTGTCTGAGAAAAAGGACAACCAGATAAACCAAGAAGATTTACTACACTTACCAAATTACCTGTCGAGTGTAGCGATCAACTCCTTTGTTGGAGATTCCTACGTTTTACGTTTGACATAATATATCTTGAAATACTTTTTAATAATATTTCATTAAATTTAAAAATTTGTTTAAATATCGAGTTTCGATTGCTGCATTGAAAGTGATCAAATAGATATAGTTAGAAGTGACACTATTTTGTCGGGTCTGAAATCACGAATATTAGTTTTTTTTTTGGTACTATTTTTTTCCAACGGAAAGCACTGAAGCATAGCCAAGACTGAAACAAATCTACTTTTCGGTCTCTTTACTGGGGCCCTACTCTCGAAACGCGAAATCCGTAGTTACGTTATCCGTTTTCTCACTACGGACGACCCACGGAACTCCAAGTCCCCGCCCCGATCGAAACTCAAGTCTGTAAGTTATCCATAGTGGGAAAACCGCCGTAACTACAGATTTCGTGCTACGAGATGTCTAAAAATTGTAACGATGCGACCTCTTTCGTCGTCATCCCACCTTGTTATCACCCTCTTTATTGGTTCCTGGCCACTTTTGAAATTTTGAATCGTTCTCTAATCCCTTTTCTTCGTTATTCTTACTTAGGTTCGTTCCGTCGTCATTACCATCAAAATTATCGAAGGAGTAGGACGCGTGCATCATAAACCTCAGTCAATCCTCAGTCATGTAAACCTCACGTATTTCAACTGCTTATAAAGGCATCTAATCCGTAAAGTTGCCTACTGATCGATATTCTACAGTACTATATTCCGCCGTCCCTTTTCCATCATCGGGGGACTAGACGTGGGCTGAGATTCCACCCCTATGTCGTGGATATTCCCAGGATTCGCGCGAAGCGTTTCGCTTCCACAATTATATTGCGAGCGGCTAGAGAGCGGAATTCCCTGCCTGCGGACTTGTTCCCCGAACGCTATTTACTTGGACCTTTTCAAGGTGAGAGTGAATAGGCATTATTTAGGTGTGCACGCTACATCGTTGACCTCATCATCACTTTCCATCAGATGACATGGAATTCAAATGCACACTTATTTTTTGTATAAAAAAAAAGTACACATATACGATTACAGGCCCTTTTGGCCCTTCCTATTCCTCTTTTACCCCCTTTAATAAATTTTGTGTGATCCGAGCCGTCACTCTTTCATTTCGCCGATACTGGGCTACAAAATCTTATGCATCTGTAAATATATCGTCGCTGTCAATTTTCACTAGCGACCTATTAAACTAGTTGACAACTCACTCAGTACTCTTAAATCGGGAACACAGCTGCTGTTTTGCGATAGAATTAATATATAAACTGGACGAAACTTTTGCCTCATTTGTTATGCGATAATGTGACCGACGATGTTACGGGTTTATCTAGTATATATGCCTATTCACTCTAACCTTGAATAGACGTAATTTGTAGTTCTCGAGAAATAAAGATTTCGGCAGTGTATTCCATTCCATTGCCGTACGCATTGGGAAGAATAAAAAAGCAAATGACGTTCATTTTGTGGGTGCTGGATGAGGAGATCCCGAGTTCGATTCCAATTTAGGATATTAACTTTTTAAATTAGTTCTAGTTAGTGCCCCAGTCAATTCCGTTACTCTGGTACTTATAATACAAGGATTACCTAGTTTGAGACCTGATAATTGGTGTAGTTCTTATGGACAATGTTCTCTATCTTTGCGTTATTGTTTAAAAAGAAAGAAGTAGGCAACGGTCTAGTTCCATGGCGTTTTCGCAACCAGCTCTCTTTCGTAGATGTACAGGCCGTCTCACTACAGACTCCCATCATTCTCCTATCTCAGTGTTTTATGTCGAAATATCGAGATAAACTTGTGACAATACCGACCTCCTTCGTCGTCATCCTTTCTATCATTATCTTTTTTCGTACCTGGCTTTCGTTTCGTTTTTTCGTACTTTTCTTACCGTTCTCGATTTCCTCCCATTTCCTTTACTATTCTTACGTTTGTTCGATCCTTCGTCACTATATCAAAATTCTTAAAACGAGAAGATGTGTCCATAAATCACAAATCACCTTCATTTTCTTACTGTTAAACTTCACGTCGTTTACTATTAAAATTATACACTTAACATAGACCCTTTTGGGCTTTTCTTTTCCTCTTTTATCATCTCTTACAATAAATCTTGTGGACCGAGCCTTAAGCATTCTCATTTCTCTAAGGCTAGGCAACAAACGTTTTTAAATTGGTTTGCCTGCGTGTGCCCCGGTAATGATTTATTGCTCGTACCAATTAGTACAATAATTCCCTTGTTTGAGACCAGGAAATTAGTATAACTGTTAAAAAAAACTTTGTGTGCTTGGCTACTAAGCTGATAACAAGAATGGAGTGCTCCGGACTTTCTAGTAGACCGAAGGTGAAACGGTGAAGTTAAAACTAATTGTAAAGTTCCTGCGCACACTCTAACGCAAACGGACTAAATGATCTTTCTATTTTACTTTCCTGTCTCGTTCGTCTGCAACAAAAAGAAATGGGGACATTTTCCGGCCTTGGCAACGTTCTACGAAGTTCCGGCAATTGTACACACTCTAACACATATACGCCTAATTTGCTTACACAGGTCCGAATACAGTCAACTGCTCAAGCTATATATACACTTTTGTCCAAATATTAGCCTCCAGAGCAACGGAACAAGATCCGTCAATGTGGAGCTTGATATACTGTCGTCTTTACATTGTGGTGTACACAAGGCCTTATGAGGTTAAATTATTTGTTTTTTTAATACGCCTAGCGCCTCCAGCTAAATCAATGATAACGGACCACATGAACAGAGCATTACGAGTCATACGACATTGTAACATTAACACTTAGAAATAAATGAGCATCAGCACTTTTTTCGTCCTTGGCATCGTTCTACAATGTTCTCTATTATGTGCAACTTAACCTTGAAACCGAAGTCACGACCACGTTTACGTATATATTATGTATAATAGGGTAATTAACTTGTGCTACTTGCATTTACAAGTTTTGCTTTGTTTAATGTTACATTTAGTTAGGACAATGGCCGATTACTGTGTTGCCAAAGCCCTTAAATCAAAAACGCTTTACAAGTCCGTTTTTTGAATTAAAAATTCTAACTGTAAAATATATATGAGGCTATCAGCGCAAAAGGGGTGTGATTTTTTCCACCATGTAGGTACTGTAGTATCATTTAAAGTAATGTAATCTCAATCGCACATCTGTTTTTTCAAACACACCAACGTGTCGGGCCCTTTACAGCTACTATTTAGATAAATACAAAAAAATATTTGCCTTAGTTAAATAATTAATAGATTCAGGCGTTGAAAGTTATTGAAAAGAATTTGCTACTCCACGAATCCCGTTGAGGTTAAATCGTGCAAAATAGATACGCTTATGTTGAATATTTTTTCATGCAGTTATTTTTCCCACTCAGACTCGATATATAATTAATAAAATAAATAAGACAAGCACAACTACAGACACCACCACCAAAAATATAAACGACACGTTTTTCGTATCTCTACGAGGCATCCTCAGCGGTGGCCGAAGAAATTTATGTTGTTTTTTATTTAACTTTAAACTTTACACCTAAGATTAAGTTTCTTTGTATTTGATGAACTATGGTTTTTGAAGACCGAAATTCTCTATCACAAGTATTACTATGATTGTAAACTATACTGTGAAACAAAATAAATTATTATTGTTGTTGTTTTTTTTTTTAATTGTTGTTATTATTATTACGGTACAATAGTCAAACAATTCTAATTAATCTTCAAATTCTGACTACTCGTCCATCATACAAAGACCTGTTAACTGTATAAACATTTTACGGCGAATGTTTTCACAGATCTATTTGTTTTCTTTACTTGAATATTGAAATTTTCTGTCATAATGGATGTTATGTGTTACATCTGTTCCGAGTAACAGGTAATTCGTTTTTGTTGAAGCAAAAACCCATTATCTCCATTATCGTCGTATTCCAATGTGTGTGCTTGAATTTTTCGGCGTATTTCCCGTACCGGAACGCTTTTTATCTAGACGCTCTATTGTAGCCTGGACCACTATTAGTGTAGTAATGGTAGATTATTTTTGAACTTATGAATACTAATTTGTTTTTTATTGAATTACTTTTACTGTAATAGGACGAGCTGGGTTATTAAATTTGTGTCTCTTGTTCCAGTGCATCTCGAACTTACTCGGCGGAGGGCGCTACGGAAGCAGAGACCGGGCAGCCCACCGTCGACCTGCCACGTACCAGGGATGGAGAGATTGACTACGATGGTAAGATATACTTATGTCGTGTATATATTATGATCGAAATGTACTTGAATAAAGGCTACTATTATTGTACGCTTGCCCCGTTCAAAGACGTAGAGATGACTACTACAATGGTAAGACATTAATAAGCCTTATCCTTATGTAACAAAGAAGGATGACGAAAGCTGCTCCAATAACGACGAAGAGCCTTTCATGGACTTTACTAGTACAATTTTGCGTTTTCGTTTATTTTTATTTGTAAATATATTTTTGTATATTTTTAGAAGTCGGGAATAAAAAAACATTGTATTTTAGAATAGATGCACAGCACAATGCAATTGATTCAACTCGATCATAGAGTAGGTAACGTTCTTGTACATACGTTTCATTTTAAACATGATTGAATGTTTACCTATCTAAAATATTGGTTATTTTATAGTACACACATAAAACATTAAAGCTATGAAATACCTAATGCCAACAGCAACTTTTTATCATGGCACCGCTCGCCACCGACAGGGAGTCCATCCTCACACTCTGGAACCGAGTCGATCTCGTACCGTACGGTTTCAGAGGAACTTTCTCCCACGTACAATTAGGTTGCGGAATGAACTCCCTGTCGGGGGGACCCTTCTCAGAAGGGCTTTGAGAAAAGTCCTAAAGGGTTGGTAACGCGCTCGTGCCGGCCCTGATGTTACAGGCGTTCATAGGCGACGATGGCCGCTTTCCATCAGGCGAGCCGTATGCTTGTTTGCTGCCTACATAATATATAAAAAAAAGTTGTAAACCTTCCTCGTCGATTTTAATTACATTAGTATTTGTTTTCAAGTGCGTTATATGAGTCAAATAGTCGAGACAAATTGTCCAATTCACATTTCGCGTGACAAATTACAACCAGAAACGTATTGTTACGAAGCCTTACTTCAACTCCGCTTTGGAATATTTAAAGCTTCGTGACTCATGTGGCAGCAGTTTCTCTGTCGACGTGCTTCGCATAATGAGGTGCGAACAAATTGAACTTTGGACAACCTCAAATGGCTTTGGTTGGTTCCGCTTAATAGTGAAAATGCTGAATTAATCACATTGAAAAGTGATAAAATGATAAAATGAAAATAGAAATATCTCGCGCTTTATGTCGCTCTCGCGCTAGTCGCACACTGGCATGCTAGCCCTACTCGTCTCAAATTAGGAAATTCCCCATACTATGAGTACCAGAGCAGACCCATATCTTTCTACTTAAGTGTTGATTATAATGCCCCTCCCTATCAACCTGTTGGTTACGCGAGAAGAACACTGTAACCTGTGCAGGCAAACCCGCATAAAGACCTTATAAGTTGAGGTCCTGACTCCTGACCTGACAGTCACGGACTTCATCCGATTCTCAAAAGGTTAGTTAGTCCCTTGAATAATCGCCCCCGGGTCTACAGACTGCACCGTCTCTATTGTCCAGGTCTTTAGGTACCGGAACTCTTGGCTTGCTCACCTCCGGTTGTGCGTTACACAACTCGACTTTTTAGTAGCAATAGAGTTCCTTGAGAAAGAGTTCGTCCAGGGAAGTACTGCCACCTTGCCTATTTCTGCCGCCAAGCACCAAGCACTAATGAGAGCATTACTGCATTCCGGGTTGTGGCGGGCACAATGGCAGTGCCACTAAAATCTTTGCGATTATGAGCTCTAAGTGGCACTGCAACTGTTATGGACAGGCGTGTCGCTTACCACGTATTATAAAAAAACTAGCAATTGCCACCGCTAAGTCGTTGACTTGTAGTCAACTACCAAGTTTCTGCTTTGGTAGCGAAGCTGTCGGCACGCGCGAGCGTCGCCGAAACGTCTCTTTTCCTGTAGCTGAAACCAAAAAGCCAGCCGTCTTTGGCTAGTCGCTAAATTAGTCTTAGATAACTCGTGTTCAGCTGTGAGACGTATAGGGTTGCTGGTGATGATACTTTCACTACTCTACCTGAAAACATCTCATTATAACACGAGTATGATAATTGAATATATTGTACATATATCATACGAAAACCGTTACTGAATTATAATCACGTAGAACTTGAATAACTTGTTATGAATATACAAACAAATTTTAAACAAAGGCTTTAAATCCTTGTTTGGGTTATGAATTAATTTTGCGGTACTATGATTCATCTGTTTATTATGTTTTCCGCTGGTGAAAGTACACATACGTATATTTATTCATTAAATAATTATTTGCTTTTATTTATTTGTTAGAAATGAATACGCTGATGCTTGCGGTATGCAAAGCATCAGCGTATACGACACTATCATCAATAACGTAGATAAATATTTGTATCTTGGTCAAGAGGTCGTAATGAAAAAGGACAATCAAACTAACGAAATTGACAGGCGCATAAAACTGGCGTGGGCCGCTTACTCCAAACTCAAATTCGCGTTCTAACTACATGAAAATCAATGCCGAACAAGAAGTTCTTATTCACGACCAATGTATTTTGCCAGTACTTATGTATGGAGTTGAGACCTGGGTTGTTACTAAGGAGATTCTCCACAAACTTCAGGTGGCTCAAAGAGCAATCGAAAGAAAACTAGTAGAAGTTACACTGAGAGACCGTAAAAGAAACAAATGAGTCAGAGAGCAAAGTGAGCGATGTGTTGAAGTGGGAGTGAGCTGGCCGTGTCGCCCGCAAGAAAATCTCTTGGTGCAAGGCAGTGGTAGAATGGAGACCGTGTGGCGAGAAACGCCCAAGAGGAGGAACACAGATGCGTAGGTACGACTATATCAAAGCACTGGCGGAAACACCTTAGAGGTTGAAAACGGCTAAAGAAAACGTTTATTTCGACTCATCCGAAGAACAGAGTCCGATGTGATTATATAGCGAAAAGAGAATAAGTACGTTACGAGAATAATTTCGTTATTCAAACTAAAGCCTATTTGCCTCCACGTGTTTTGAGAATTTATCTGATTTCGTTTGGGAAATATAAAATCGAACAACGGTCGATCTTACATCCACAGCGAAAAAGAACGAATGAAATGTACTATGGTCCTGAGAACAAGTAGTCTTGCAAATAGATCTTTGTTCTACGGATGAGTCGATTTGTATTATTTATTAACTTTCTTTTTTTATAAATTACCAAGTGACGGGACGAACAAGTCGTGCGACACATCTATACATACATAACATAAGGTTCACAACACGATTGGCAAACATATGAAACCCCCAAACAGCACTGTGCCAGCCGTACCCATTAGCGGGATGTATAGTGAGTTGATAATGATAGCTCGTTTAATGATCGTTAAATAGATTTCGGATCCAAGTCGGTCGCGGAAGACAACATATCTATGTCCACATAACTAACCGAAATAACCAGTATGAGTTTGGAATCTGGAAGTGTACTCCCGT